GTATTGCTAGGTCCAATTTTCTAGTTTAAGGAAATTTTTTCAGTATTCATTCGGAAGCTTTGGCTGTAATATTTCATGTGTGTATGTGCATGTGCTTATGTGCACGCTATCTTTGTAGGTTACATATTTTTCTGTTACATCCTATTTCCTTCTTTAGTGGACCTTCTGTATTATCTGTCCTAACAGTTTTACTTTGCTGAATTTCACAAAATCACTTGTAGTTTATAATTGCTATTATTGCATAGTTTTCCTTTACCCTTATATTTGATGAGAGTATGTCACATGGAGAATATATTTTAAAAAATATATAGCTTTGCGAAACTGAATGCCAAATTCCAAATAAAATTCAAAACTTTAGAACACTGTAGTTGGGGTGCCTGGGTAGCTCAGTCGGTTAAGCATTAGCTGCCTTCAGCTTGGGTTATGGTCTCAGGGTCCTGGGATGGAGCCCCACATCAGGCTCCCTGCTCAGCGGGGAGTCTGCTTCTCCCTCTGCTTCCCCCCACCCCTGGGCTTGTGCATGCACGCTCTCCCTCTCTCTCTGTCAAATAAATAAATAAATAAAATCTTTTAAAAAAATAAAACACTGCAGTATATTTCTTAGAGAACTCTACTTCCTGAAGTATCCAGAATTCATTATATGGAAATGTCATGCAATTTTTCTTGCACAGGTTTTTAAAATTTAGTATCATGGTAGGTTCAGGAATCCAGGTGCCCATAGATTGGTTGTATTAATGACCCCACTTAATGACTTCTTTGGATCCACAATGTTTTTCCTATACCTTTAAAGTTCCATCTCACCCTGACTCTCTGCTTGGGCATGTGACTTGTTTTGGTCAATAGGATGTTAGCCAACATGACACAAACAGAGGCTTTATAGAAAGGTGCATGTGCTTTTTTGTTGCCTTCTTGCATGATTGGGCCTGCTCACTCTTCCCCTCTGCCATGCTATGAGAACATGTCCAGCTGGTGTGCAGGAAGGATATGGCAGACATGTGGAACAGGGCTAAGTTGTTTCAGACATCTGAGCTTGGGCCATCCTGGTTCAGTCAATTGCCAGCCAGCCCTCAGATACGTGAGGAAATCCAGATGAGATCAGAAGAAGCTTCCAGCTAAAGCTATTCAATATCGACAACCTGTAGTGAACTAAATAAATGTTTATTATTTTAAGACACTGGGTTTGGGTGGTTTGTTATAAAACATTATTGTGGCAACAGATAATACAGAGATACCAACGTAATAATTAATCAATGAGGGGACATCACTATGTATGTGAGGTACCAAGTCAGAGATAATATTCACAGATGGTAGATATTTTCATATATTCATAACTCTTTTTGTATTCTTCTGCCTCTGGAAAAGTTCATTTATTATCCCAGGAGTGGTAATGGTACAGAGAATGTTCCCCTGTAGCACTTTAGCAGCATTTTAGGCATGAGACTTGCCAAAAGAGAAATGTGACTTTGCTTATTACGCAGTCTTTTGGTACTTGAAGTGTTAAGAAGATAAATGGATTTTATGTGATCAGGATGGTAAAGATACATTACATTCTCTGCCTCAAATTCTCATGTGGATTTAAGTTGTTAGTGAGAAGAAATGAGAATATAATCAGGTTTGTGAATGCTTGTAGCTATGATTTTTCCTGATGACTAGTAGATTATAGAATGCCTTTTAAAGAAATCTTGGCTGTCACGTGAAGTCTTAACTCTTAAATTAGATAGATGCAGGTTTCTAAATAGAAAATAGGAGTTTCAGCTCCAGTTAACAAATATTTATTGATCATCTATTCTGTACTAAGCATTATAAATACAGACTCTGAAAATTAGCCTCTGCCCTAGAGGCACTTAGAGTTCAGAAAAGAGACAGACAAATAAATCATGACAGACAAATAAATGCTATTGTAAGTACAATGATGGGTCACACACACAAAGGTGGTTGAGGGGGTATCAGAGGGTGGGTGGGGGCTGTGGTGGTCCAAAATTTTAAAGAATAAGTAGATTTGGAGAAGTAAAAGAAGACCTTAAGTGGGAAAGGATTCCAGCAAGGAGCAAAGCATGAACAATGATCTGGAGTGTGGAAAAGCATCAGTTATATAGAAAACCACAGAACATAATGTGGGACCTGAAGTTACACACATGTAACCAAAATATATATATGTATGCCAAAATATAATCAAAGACTTGTTAGGTATTTGCTAGTGTTATCAAATATGCAATTATTTTTGGTAATAGAGATTTTTGTTTTCTTTTACATATTGGAAAAATAATCTTTGTGCTTTTTAGTACCTTCTGCATATCTGTAAATTCCATGTGGACTGAAAACAAGTTTATCTTACTCTTCTGCATCTCAGCACCCAGTACGGTGCCTGAAATTTCATATGAATTCAGTACATGTTTGTTAAGCAAGTTACTGAATTCTTGAATCTGTCAGCCTTTGCCAAAATCCAATAGAAACTTATCTTTTAAATTACTCTTTTTTAATTTATTCATAGAGTAATTTTCTTGAATAATTTGTCTTTCTCAAATTGTCTTCAATAAAAGCTTAATCTTCTGTTTTACAATTCTCCCTATTTTTGGATTTTAAAATATATGCTGTCAGTATTGTTTTTCTCCCCATACATTCATCTATGTATTCATCCAAGATACACTTACTGAATACTTGATTATGTGCCAACATTGTGCTCCACCCCAGGGTGGAGTAGTAACAAGTCAGACCTGGTCTGACCGTCAGTGGGACTTATTTTCCGGTGAGGAAAACAGACCAATATTGAATTAATAATTTACCAGCACATTGCATGTTACATATAAAATTGAATAGTTTTATGAGCGTGTGTAACAGTTTCTTTTGGCCTCTATTCAATATGAATTATTATATGATGATTATATAGCATGTTTACTTTATCATATTTTTAGTTTGTGTTCTCTACTTTCTGTTTTGCTATGCCACCATTATAATTAATGTGTGGTACATAGAATATACACTATAAACATTACTTGATGGAATGAATGAATGAAAGAATAAATGAATTTTATTAGAACCCTGACCCGTAGTTTATTGGTTTAATTTCTGCATAAAATGAAGTTATTAGTCAAATCTATTTGGTTATCTGGTTTTAGTCAACAAATATTCATTGGAATTTTGTGTAAGTTATGTGGCAGAAGTGGGAATTCAAAAAAGAATAAAAGGTTTCCTGCCCTTACAGAAATTGTAATTCAGGCAAACAAGATAATAGCATATGAGAAGCTAAACATTTAGCACAAGAAAACATACATATTGTATATCTTCTAGACAAAGGACTGTGCTGCGTAATGTGAAGAATAAAGAAAAGAGTATACCATGACTTCCGGTTACTTATAATTTAGGTGAGGAGACAAGACAAGTATATTTACAATGAAAATAATACCAAACAATAAATGGTACATTCTGGAGCTCAAGATAATAAGAGTCTCAGGACTTCAGAGGATGGAAATCTTCCAAAACATTAGCATGTTTTCTCACGCAACCAAACATTAGAACAGTTACTCCAAAGTGAGGTGTGTGTATTTCAGGGGAGCACCAGGCCATCCATTGTACTTTGGGAAGAAAATATTAAAACTTCTACTTATTTAAAAATAACTTTAAAAGAAACTAATCCTTACTAACATTTAATAAAAAAGATTGCCAAGGGGCCATCACAGTCTGTAGCTGTGAATGTCCTGTGTTAGGATTTAACCTGGTTATCACATGGAAGCAAAGGAGTGGGAGTTGCATTTCCCAGAACAAAGGGGCAGCTCTTCCCATTTCTTCATCGTGAGGTGTTGCAGGTTATCTGGCTGTTTTAAGTTCTACCTATACTAACCTTCATGAAATGGACAAATGACTTAAACAGTCCTCCAAAGAACAGCAGATAAAATTAATAATACAAGCACAATTGGGCTAAAAAGAAAATCTTAGCTGTGATACTTTTCTTTGTGAACATGCTTTTTGGCAATTACAGTATTGAATAAGATTTATTCAGATATTACAAAAAGTCACCTCCCCTCAGATTCAAAGTTATGATGAAACTATTTGAAGTGTGGGTTTTTTGTGCTGTTATTGTTAATGAAGATCCTCATGTCATACACCGTGCCTTGAGATAGCTCGTAATTAGCAAGACATTAAAAAACTAAGCATCCAAAACATAAGGACAATCTTTTGCAATTTTTTCATAAGTTTTCAAAGTCAAGAGTTACTCAACCTGGCATTAGTGAAACTTTACTAAACTCAAAAACAAATATTTAGAAGTTTACTTATTAAAAAAGACCACTTGGGCTTTCCACACCACACAGGGAGGGGTCCATAGGGTGTTGTCTCAAATTAAAGGGAATCTCTCACAATATCCAGAGCCCTTGATGTCCTGCAAATGAAGGAGGATGTCCTCAAATTCCTGGCAGCAGGAACCCACTCAGCTGGCACCAACCTTGACCTCCAAATGGAACAGTACACCTACACAAGGAAATGTGATGGCATCTGTATCATAAATCTGCAGAGGACCTGGGAGAAGCTTCTGTTGGCAGCTTGTACCATTGTTGCCATTGAAAACCTGGCTCCTGTCAATGTCATATCACCCAGGGATACTGGCCAGTGAGCTGAGCTGAAGCGTGCTGATGCTAGCCACTTCTATTGCTGGCTGCTTCATTCCTGTAGACTTCACTAACCAGATCCAGGCAGCCTCTGGGAGCTGAGACTTCTGGTGGTTACTGATCCCAGGGCTGCCCACCAGCCTCTCACCAAGGCATCTTAGGTTAACCTGCCTACCATCGCTCTGTGTAACACAGACTCTCCTCTGCACTATATGGACATTGCCATTCCTTGCAACAACAAAGGAGCTCACTCAGTGGGTCTGATGCGGGGGATGCTAGCCCAGGGAAGTTTTGTGCATGTGTGGCACCATTTCCCATGAACACCCATGGGAGGTCATGCCTGATCTCTACTTCTACAGAGATCCTGAAGGGATTGAAAAAGAAGGGCAGGCTGCTGCTGTGACCCAGGAGGGATTTCAGGGAGAATGGACTGCTCCAGCTCCTGAGTTCACTGCTACTCAGCCTGGAGTCACAGACTGGTGTGAAGGCGTGCAGGCGCCCGCCCTCTGTGCTGATTCAGCGGTTCCCCACAGAAGACTAGAGCGCCCAGCCGACCAATGAGGACTGGTCAGCAGCTCCCACTGCTCAGGCCACTGAAAGGGTAGGAAGGACCACTAAGTGGTCTTAAGCTGCTCTTTCACAAAGGCAAACAAAATGGAAATAGGTTGATGGAAAAGAAAAAATTTCTAAAAAAAAGGACTACTTGGAAAACTGTTTTTCCTTCCAGAGTGAATAAGACTGGAATAATTCATGAAGCAATAAGCCACGAACTAACATCCATTCCTTTGTCACCAGTGATGGAAGATACAGAGAAAACATCGCTGAAGCTGAAGACTTTGAGAAACAGGTGAGACAAATTATGTAGCATTAGAATTTATGTAGTGATGGGCGCCTGGGTGGCTCAGTTGGTTAAGCGACTGCCTTCGGCTCAGGTCATGATCCTGGAGTCCCAGGATCGAGTCCCGCATAGGGCTCCCTGCTTGGTAGGGAGTCTGCTTCTCCCTCTGACCCTCCTCCCTCTCATGCTCTCTGTCTCTCATTCTCTCTCTCTCAAATAAATAAAATAAAATCTTAAAAAAAAAGAATTTATGTAGTGATAGAACTGGGTGGATATATTGGCATTTTTATTGTGTCTCAGATTCTATTTGCTAGATTGTATTTCAAAAAGAAAATTCATGATTGATCACAATTTTGTGCCTTTAAAGAAGTTACTGTACACCTGAAGCTAATATTATACTGTATGCTAACTAACTGAAATTTAAAGAAAAACTTTAAAGAAAAAGAAGAATTTACTGAAAAAGGTAAATTCTCAACAATAAGAAAATCCTTACCGAATTTCTTTTAAAAATGTTTTATGGGAAATATGTATTATGATGGAGCTGATGCTTTGCCTGCAATTGAAAATTCAAAAATATTCTAGGTAATGTTTTTACATGTGAAATCTCTTAACTGCCTACCATTGATAGGCAAGCTTTTCTTTCACCAGAGAAACTGAAGCCAGAAGTGCATCAACATTGGTTCTTAATTTCACAAAAACATGAGCCTTTAAAATATTGTCAAATATTTACATGACTTAATGACATAGGGAATAACAATGATAATATTTGTGATCATAGAGAATTTTACTGGTTATTTCATTGAAAAATACTAAAACTGCTGTTGCATTTAAAGACAAATTAAGCTTTTTATTTACAAAAAGGTGTTTAAAATTTGCCAACCTTTTCACTGATGACAAAAGATTTATCAATAAAGTGCTACTTAGCAAATATTTAAAAACAAGCATGCTTATTCTTTAGGTATAATTAAAGTAAACTTTTTTTTCAATAAATGAGAAAGTAAACAACCTTTTTTATTTTTAGGTATAATTGACATACAATATAATATTAATTTCAGGTGCATAACAGTGATTAGACATTTGTATACATTACCAGGCGCCTGGGTGGCTCATTTGGTTAAGCAGCTGTCTTCGGTGGCTCAGGTCATGATCCCAGGGTCCTGGAATCTGGAATTGGCTCCCTGCTCAGTGGGGAGTCTGCTTTTCCCTCTGCTCCTCACCCCTGCTTGTGTGTGCGCTCGCTCTTTCTCTCAAATAAATAAATAAAATCTTTAAAAAAAATTTTTAGACATTTGTATACATTACAAAAGGATCACCACAATAAGTCCAGTTACCATACAGCATACATAGTTAATACAATATTAACTATATTCCCCATGCTGTACATTATATTCCTGTAACTTATTTATTTTATAACTGGAAGTTTGTATTTCTTAATCACCTTCAGCAATTCCCCCCTCAAACACCCTCCCCTCTGGCAACTACCAATCTGTTTTCTGTAACTATGAGTTTGGGTTTTATTTTGTTTTGTTTGTTTCATTTTTTAGATTCCACATGTAAGTGAAATCAGTGGTATTTGTCTTTATATGTCTGACTTATTTTGCTTAGCACCTCTAGGTCCATCCATGTTGTCACAAATATAACTTTTGAACTTTTGAAATAGAATTTTCTACCCTATCTAAATATCTTCCAAATGAAGAGTGTTGAATCCTTTTATTTTTTTTAAAAAAACACAATGCCTACATCAAAGTGAGATCAAGGAGAACTGAATTTCCTGTTTGAATTTCAACAAAAAGTTTTATATAATTGATGCCTGGGCATAAAAAATGAGTATCATAATTTAATAACTAAAGACTAAGATATACTTTGTCCATTTGAAGTATTTTTTTCATCTATGATAGCCATTAAAATTAAGCATTGCATCAATAGAATCTAGAATCCAAGCCCTCAAAATATTATATCCCTAAATATTATGGCAAGACTAAAATAAGATGATCTTACAAAGTATGAGCAAAAAAATTTTTATGTTATTGATAAACATAATAAAATATCACTTTAGTTTAAAAAAATTTGCTTTATTATTATCTAACCTTTCTCTTTTTTCCCTTATGGTTGTTAAAATATCAATATAAATAACAATATAAAAATACATGCATTCAATTTGTAAATAAATGTGTATAAATATATACACAAATTTACTCTCTGTCATTTAGTATAGATTTGGGTTCAAATATTTTCTACTGATCAAGATATGTGATCAAAAAAATTTGGAAATCATTGGCTTGGTAAAAGGGATGTAAGGGCCTTTTAGAGATAGTTAATCTGATGGAGTAACATGACATAATTGGGGAAAACACAGGAGCAATATAAAAGATCTATTACTATAAAATAGAAAAAAAGTGGGAATAATTTAGTGTAGAGATTAATAGTTTTACACTTTTGAAAACTCTCTTATAACACCACTGTGCTCATTTCAGTTCAACATTTGTAGGGTACGTAGTGTTCTCTGCTTGGCTCTGGCAATGAAAAGATGAATAAGATGGGGTGTCCTGTCCAGAGCTACCCACTGTCTAATGGGGAAAATAGAGATTTGTGACCATATGAAGTAGTGGAATCATATGAATTAATAGGTAATTTCCATAAAGTATTGTAAGCGGTATACAAGGGGGTTCTATGAATAATATAAGATGATATCTAGTGACGTCTGATGGGATAGGGCTAGAGAAGGCTTTCTGGTGGAGGTGGTGCCCGAACTAAGCTTTCTTAGATTTTTATTTATTTATTTGACAGAGAGAGAGATAGCGAGAGCAGGAACACAAGCAGGGGGAGTGGGAGAGGGAGAAGCAGGCCTCCCGCCGAGCAGGGAGCCCGATGTGGGGCTCGATCCCAGAACCCTGGGATCATGACCTGAGCTGAAGGCAGATGCTTAACAACTGAGTCACCCAGGCGCCCCCGAACTAAGCTTTCTTAAAACTGCATTAGAGAATAATATAATTGATTCATAATGAGGAATTTGAATAAATTAGAAAGTATTCATGATGTTGTTTCATTTTGTTTAATGAGGCAGAAAAATCTGTAAGACAATTTATAAAGATTTCTGTCTTTATAAAACATTTTAAGTTTTGATTGCTGGAGGTATAAATTTCAATTATTTGGAACATTCTTCAGACTACACTTGTGCCAAGTCAATAATATATTTTCTTTTACTCTTCCTCATTCAGTCAACAATTCTTGAATACTGACTCTCTTTCAGGCTCACCGAGCTAGGTGCCCAGGAATAAGTAGTCAAATAAGACAGTGTTTCTGCCTTTAAGAGACTTAAAGTGGCATTGCAGACATAGTGTTGTAAAGCAATACATGTAAGTTAGCATGAGAACTGCTGAAATAAAAATTGAAACGATGTGCATGTTGCACTTGATCAAAGGAGAGACTGATGATCTTCGCCTGAAAGAGAAGAAAGTGGGCCATGTCAGAAAGGCTTTCCAGATGAAATGATGGTTAATCTAGGTCTTGAAGAATGACTAAGACTTTGTCAAGATGATGGAAGGAAAGACATTCTAGGGAGAAGAACCAGCATATGTAAGTGCAAGCAAGCCTGCCGCGGTTTTCTAGCCCCTTATAATAATTTTCTATTCACATTCTTATTCACCATTACTTCACAACTTCTTGCTTAGCTAGATTAATTCTGTTAGATCAAGATTTACAAGATGTCTATCTTCAGCATGTCTACAATCTGATTTGCCTTTGGAAAATGGAAATATTTAGAACTACATTCTCACTAACAATGGACAATTTAAGCATTCATATAAGTTGGAGACGCGAGATCCTTTATAGACAGTCATTGGCCCGGAAAGTATGGCCTCACTGGTAGTTGTGGGTGATGACTGGACCTTAGAGCATCACTGGACCTGTTGGCTCATCATTGCCTACCTCACCCTGCCTTCCATCGAAGAAAATCTCTCCCGTGACCACACCCATGGTTGCCATGTTTGTAGCACAGGTCTTAAGATCCTTAAGTCTAGGGTCTCACCACAGCTGACTGGACAGATAACTCCGAGAAAAACAACCCAAAGCACAGTCGGGCCAATCAGATCTCTTTCTGAGAATCCGAGGTTACGATGTTATGCTTTGAACACTTAGTGGTAGAGTCTTGAATAAAATATTTGAACTCTGGGCCTGCTAGTTAGCAGAGAGGACTACCCATCAGTGCCCGAAAATGTCAACTGTCTGAGAGGTATACCTATGGGCACAGGTAGAGGTAACACAGGTACCATGGGAATAATTCCCCAAGACTTATTAGGCCAGGGCAGTGATCACTATACCAAAGAATCTGAGATACCCTGAAATGGCTATGTGGCTTCTGATTCCAAAGATACTTGCCTAGTAAGTAAGACTTTCCAACAGACCAGGTGAAAGGGAGTTTATTTGAAGGCTACGTGGGAATCTCACATAATCCAACTGTAGATAGTACTACTAGGCCTCATAACTGCTGGAAAAAACAATTTCAGACAAGCCGCCTTTTTAATTTTTTTCTCTCAGGCAGCACCATTTCTCTTCTCTGCATCTTTCTATCCATACCTACATTTCGTTCTCCTTTAGGCAGCCGGGTTTATTTCAAAAGGCTCTTAGTTTCTGTTCCTGAGTAACTTCAGTTTAACATGAGCCTCTGCCCTACCCTGGAGCCATTTTGGCACAGACCAGATGCCACTGCTCCGGTAACCACTATTGCCCTCTAAGTCAGACTTTTCTGTCACTTAGTTTAAATTCTTGTGCCCATACATATGCCTCTGAGACGCTTGACATTTTGGTATTGATGGGTAGAGTTTTTCTCTGCCGGTTGGCAATCTTGGTTTGGATATCTTATTCAGGACCCTTTACTACCAAATATTCAAAGCATAACATCTTAACCTCAGTTGGCAAAATATCCTAGATAGTATAGATTTAAAAAGCATTGCTGGAGCATTTGTGAGAATAAGCAAGTTGGCCAAAGTCCTGGGTGCTGGCACGGGGAA